AAATTGGGACCCTGGGCCTCAAGTTCTGTACTCCTGATCTATGGGCTTTTCCATTCTACATGACTCAGTCTAGTGCTACATTTGCAATTATCAGTCACACATATGGGAGGGGGATGTTTCATCTGCTGGGAGAGGTAATATAGGCATCAAGTCAATTCTCAGTACTCACCCATCTGTAGAAGTCTGTTTCCAGAGTCTGTTGGTTCTGCTGTAGGCATCCAGAATTGTGTTTGGTCAATAATAGCAAGAAGTGAACTGAAGAGCTTCATGTTCTCTGGGTTGACTGTGCTTCCCATGCCCTTCTCCAGGACATGGTAGAAGCTTACTTGAACTTCCTAACAAAAAAACCCCCCTACTGTAAACTGTACTCTGTGTAGGGACCTAGCTTAACCTGTTCAGTAAGAGAAAAAGTTCTGCAGTTAGTTCACACATCCTCTTAATTCAGGTTGTGGCAGTTGGGAAAGAATGGGTATGGACAGGTGGGCACACCCATACTTTTTCTTTTTCCTTGAAAGGTTAAAGGGCAGCAATGAAGTGGGGATAAGTGTTACATTTTGAAGCAGTTTCCCCTCTCCCTCATGAGCTTCCCTCTCTTGTCTACCTGTGTGGAGTGTTTTATCCATACAGCCCAACTTGCAGGGGTGAAACTGATTTGGCTCTTAATGTCAAGGGTCCTGAGGAAAGGTAAGGATGTTTGTGTAGTAGTTTTGTTCTGCCAGGTAGCTGGGTGCTTCTTGTCTGTGCAATGTGCCCCATCACTTCTGCAATTTACAATCCATGCTTACACCAATGGGATCCATAGAGTGATGTATCCTCATGCCACACAACTTGAAAAAAGAGCACTGTGGCCCCTCGTTATGGCTTCTGTACTCCTAAGGATGTGATGTAATTGCAACTCTATACTCCATTCTGATGTAATTTTTATTCACCCATGTAACATTGTATTCTGCTGGTACAGGATGCTTTCAGAAAGAAGGCTCCTAGCACTATCAAGTGGAAGGCATGGTTCAACCATTTCATCTTTATCTCCTTAACAAAAAGGAGAAGAAGATAGGTTTAACTATGGTTTACCTCCATGAGAGGAAGACAGTGTCATCTGGATTCCCCTGCCATGAATCAGGCAGGGCAATGGAAGCAACCCAGCTGATTTGGGGTCAATCCTATCCCGTGTAAAGGCTGTACATTGTGGCACAGAATGACAGCATTATAGTTCTCAAGTATTTCCCAACAGATTCCATCTGTTTTGTTATATTGCAATGAGTTTATTGACAGAAGTTCCTTTTTGTTTTTGCTGTACATGGTTTGTGTTGCAGCTCTCTGATGTTTAAGGCTACTAATGCTTTATTTTATTGTTGCATATTGTACCATATTGATTTGTCTTAATGAATTTCATTTTACCTGCTAACTAGCATAGGCAATATGTTTGGAAGGGTGTACACACACACACACACACACACACACTGAAAAATAAATACCTATATACAATGGTTGGATGAATTAGACCAGATCTATTTTGACAAGGTCAATGGGGCAATTTCATATGCTGGACAGGAGATCCCTTGAAGCTTTTATTTGAGAGCAAAGCCTTCATTCTTACGTATGTTCAAGTGTTATTCATAATACACCCCTAATTTTCTCAACATAAGGAGAAGAAAACACATTTCCATGGAACAAAGAGAAACCGAATAATGTATTGCATCTCTTAAAGAGTTTGGCTGAAATTCTATAGTACTGTTTTGCTTCTATATTGCCAGAAGCTTAACAGGAACAGGAGAGTTCACTGAAAAGATTACAGTTGAAATACAAAGGTCATTTTACTGAACCGAAATAGCAAACTGACAAACTCACCAAACCCAGAACCAACTACAAAATTCAATTTTTATATATTGCAATATTACTTTTCTTAAAAAAAAAGAATTTATCAGAAAAGCGGTATTACAAAAATGGAGGCATAGTTCTGTACATCTTATGGAATATTTATTTATTTATTTATTTATTTATTTATTTATTTATGTTTTAGGAGGATACAGAAAATGCTTCACAGAAATCAAAACTAATGTTCTTGTTAAGGAAAGATGTTAGTTTCTGTTCAATAAACCCACTTCCTGTAGAACAACTTCCCCTTCCAGCTACCAGAGGAAACTCTGCAGCAGCTGCTCTTCCACAACAGAAACAGCAATCTCAAAACTCAAACCAAGAAGGAAGAAAGGGGTATGACAGTGCATGGGAACATGGATCCATCACCCTCTCCAGTCACTGATGCATAAATCAGCTGGATGGGAGATGCATGACACAACTATGTCATTTTTCTCACCTTGCCTGGTTTTTGTTGCTAGGACTTTGGATGGACAGAGTCTTCTGTCTACTGAGTGTCACTCGCACGGGCTGCATTCTAGGACTGTTTTCAGCATATATTGACACAGGGACATAGGAAGCTGCCCCTATAATACTGAGTCAGACCAATAGTTCTTATAGAGCAACACTTCCCTAATATGGTACCCTCCAGATCTTTTCAACTACAGCTTCCATTATCACCAGACAATGTCTGGATACGAAGAAAGTTGTAATCCAAAATACTGAGAAACTCAACCCACTTGTGCTCAATGGACTTTCAGCACCTTAGATGCAAGAGCCCAAAGTAGGCTGAATCGGGGTTTTCCTCCCACAGCTTCTGCTTCTGAAGTGGGATGCAAGTCATTTTTTACTTCTGACTGCAGTTTGCATACTTTTGACTGCAGTTTGCACAGATTTCCTAGCTCAACACAAATTGCTGTGAATTGGTACCAGTGCTGGGTTGACAGGAAGGAACTCGGGAGCCCACACTGCCATATTTTGAGCCCCTGTACCACATTCCTTACACATTTCCGCATATTATGGGAACCAGGTTACTATGGCTTACCAGAGCCTGTGGCTGGGAAGATGCCCACCTGTAGCTGAAGTGGCCAGAGCCTGAACCTGGGACCCTTGCAGGCAAAGCCTGTGATCTATGCTACGCTGTGTCTTTTACCTGTCACCATGTGTCCCCTTTTCCCTCACAGGAATGCCTGAAGGCCACTGGTGGCTTCCAAGTTTGTTGAGTTTAATTTTCAACCTCTGTAGCCCTTGCAGTGAAGAACACTGCACCATGCAATACACAGCAATTTCACACAGTACACCACTAACAATACAATCTGCAGTGAGTTCAGTGGAGCTAACTTCCAAGAAAGTGAGTAGAACAAGACCATGCCCTAAGCTTGAACTGTTAATAACGTATTGTAGGCCAAGTCTACTTTTCTAGTATATCTTTATGAAAAGGACAACCACCATCTCAATCAACAAAGGATGGATCTGTTGCAGAGTCAATGAATACATAAGTATAGTGTACAGTGAAGAATCCTTAGCAATGCATGATATCCAGTGTGGTGTCAAAGTAAGACTAGGACTTGGGAGACACAGGTTTAAATTCCACCCTGTCATTATCAGCACTGGATGACCTGTGCCACTCATAATATTTCAGTGCAACCCACGCTTGGAGGGTCCTTGTGAGGATAAAATGAGGAGGAGGAATGAGGACAACCAAGCATACCATGGTTGCAGTAATAATTCATTATTTAACCCAAGACCAGAAGCATTTTTCTTTTGTAACAATACTGAAATGGATCAATGCATCAAAGAATAGCCCGAAAAATCGCTAGTATGAAAAATGAAAACTAAGTCGTATTAGTAGCTCATATATAAACATACTTTTAAAGAGTAGGAGAAGAATCTGTGTGTTTAAACAATGATCATTAAGCATTTGATTTCAGGACCTCAGCAATGTCATTGATTCAGGACTAACATTTGCCCTCTATCTGAGCCATGTGATGTAACATTACTGAGTCCAATGGAATGTACAAGGCTTGCAAAGTGCTTGAATGGGGCTACACTTCTCAAAATTTATAGGCTGGTGAGGGAAACTGTGCTAGCCAAAGCCATGTTTCAAGAAAGTTGTTAACATAAGTCAAACCTCATATGAGCAGAACTTTAATTTATTTTAACGAAAGCCTGATGTGGCTTTGATCACTCTGTCTGCTTCTCATTCTCTGTCCTTCTACTAAAACCCTTGTAATGTCTATAGAATTCCTTCCATGCTTTTCTCTTACATATCTAAGCCAGAGGTTCTCTCCCCCCATCCCTATCCTCTCCTGCTCGCCTTTGGATGAATTCACATTTATTTAATTATGCTCCAGGTTGGGCCATTCTTAAACAAAGCAGACATTAGTCTTAAGCTTGCATATAATTGATCAAAGTGGCTAATGTTATCTTAAATAACTGAAGGCTTCCTGGATTACAGCAGCATTATTATCATATGATTAATAAGCAGTTAATGCAAGCCAGCTCCTGCAACACATTTGTTAAGATACTTTATCTTACTTCAAAGTTCTGTGGCAAAGTTTCAAGTCAAAGTTAGGAGACCTGCTTTACTTAGTAATACTTTGTTAAAAGTACCATCTGGTCAAACAGCTGATGGGACTCAAACATATGGGTCCCCATTTGTTCCTCCTGAGAAATATACATGGCCCACTGTTTGTGCAATGATTTGGCCAGTCGATAGCCCCTTTAATCAAACTAAACCAAATTTGCAAAATCAGATCTGTTCCACGTGACCCGTAATTAATCTAACCATCATAATTAAACTCAGGCACTCTGTTATCATGAGAATGTAGTCAAGGACCTCTGCATCAGTATACTCAAGAGAATCACAGGAGGGTACAACAGTAGAGGGAGGAAAAAGCAGGCGGTTCAAGACAGTCCAATGAGGACAGAGCACACTCAATGGACAAAGAATGCTCAGTGCCTGGTGCAGGAGGGTATGTGGTGCAGGAAAGACAACCTGGGTGGTGTGCAAGGACGAAATGGAACGCTGGGGGAAAAGGGCTAGAATGCTGAACAAGAGCATTCTGTAGTACAATGTTTTGTTGCAGAGCCCACTTGATAGGAATAATCATAATCAGAACAATATATTGCAAGATGACACTTACTTGAGGACCAGGTTGACCCTGCAAAAGAAGAAAAAGAAAGAGTTACAAAAGGCTCAAATGTGTTTGTTCAAAACATGGAAGCCTCAGCTTTCTAATCAGAAGTCAGTGAATGATGAGGTGAACTACAGCCTCTGTCAAAGCAAACTCCAGCACTTAAAGTCCATAGCCTAAAGGCTCCTGGTTAAACCTCTTTAAGTGCATTAGTTAGAAGTTACAGATAAAAAAGTAGTTAATTGTTTCAACAAGAAAAGGGCGTTAAGCAACTTCTTATTTATAGCTTCTAGTGGGTTTAGTGCAAGGCAAAAGCACATTCAATATACAATGTGTAGTCAAGGAACAGGCAATTTTATTTTCAAATTGTGCTGTTTGTGACTTACATAAAATTCATTTGAGGTGCAATTCTGTGAGTGCTTAGACAGAAAAAGTCCTACAATGCCCAGCTTGTTGTAGTTCTTTCTGTTTAAATATGCATAGGAACATGCCCTTTTATACAACTAAAAGAAAACCAATCCATTTCAACAATTTGAGAATTTCCACAGCATACTACAGAGCTGAAACCAGAATACTCCTGAACCAGCACCATTGGTTTATATTGGATATCAGTAAGACTCCTTATATGAAAACTGAACTTTATAAATTCTGTCACTGCAAATGCCAAATTTTGACAAATAACTTTAAAAACAAAGCTAGTACATAGCTACTTTTGAAGAAATTAATAGGCATTTATTTCTTTAGATTCAAAGTTTCTCTGATTATGAAAACCTCCTCTGTTATTTTTGTTAGTGTTTCTGTCTTCCTGAACAGTGACCATCACATGTTTGGAACACATTTACAAAACTATATATACAGCTTTCCTAAGAAGATAATTTTCCAAAATATTATTTTAGATTCCTGCACTATTTTGCATTGTAATGGCATCTGACAAAATGAATATAAGCTGATCGTTCATTTGATGACCTGATTACTAAAACATTAAGACAAGGACTATACATTTCTTTTAGCCCATCAGAAATTTCTTTAAATGTATCAGAGACAGAAACTGGGCCAGGATGGTGGTCTAACTATTAGATGACAAAATTGTGAAAAGATTACAAAGGAGGAGAGGAGATTGAAGAAAAACTAACTGGATTCTTTGCATAGGTGAAGTAAAGTTTGGTCAGATATGCACACTTAAATCAACGTTTCCAAACAAGTATCTGAAAATCTAAGTCAAGTAGAAGTAAAAATAGATGAGATTCTTAGGCCAACTGATGTATTTACAAGTCATTGATACTGGAAGCATACACATGAACATCTTCAGTCATTTACATGTAAAATTGTTGCTTTTCTAATAAAAGTTTGCAAATTACACTTCCTGGAATATCGGAAAGTAACCTATTTAATACTATTTAAAAAGGAAGTGGTGAAATCCAGAAGGCAATGAGAATAATGCCAAACCCTTCTCTCTCAGATAAAATAGTAGAAACCTTCTTCAAAGAAGTTTTTAAAAGGTAAGCTATGCAAACCAAAAATCAGCATGACCTCTACAAAAGGAAGTCCTTTTATGAAGAAGGTCAAACTCATATATTTAGCAGCAATCTATTTACAAAGCTGACTTGGCTGCTCAGCAAAAGCTCCTGACCAGAATTAGTGTCATGTAATTTGCAGGTTTGTTAATGGATTAGAACAAGTTAAAGAAGAGTAGATAGACAGTATGAGAAAGCAAATCGTTTTCACCATGGATAGGAGTAGACAGTGTGGTCCCACAAGATTCTGTATTGGAAATGATGCTATTTACCATGTACAAGTAACAGAGAGGGTGAACAATGAGATTACCAGCTTTGCAAATTTTGTCAAATTATTTGAGATACTGAAACATCAAGAAAAATGTGAAGGGTTTTGAAAGAATGTCTCCAGATTTGGTGTAGCTGCAACAAAATGTTGAATCAGTTTCAATGTAAATAGACTGAAATGATCTGCACTGGGTACAAAGATGCTAAATTCTCATATGTACTGATGAAATCTGAAAGCTGTTAGTGGGGAAACAGCACAGGGTTATTTGGGACATGGTACATAACTCAATGGAAATATTAACTCAGTGTGGTTGTGATGAAAAAGACAAATTCTATGCTAGAGATTATTTGAATAGGGAATAAAAATCAAGGGCTAATATTGTAATGTTTTTATGTAACTCTATATATACATTTGAAATATTGTTTACATTTCTCTTTGCCTCATCATAAAAATGATTTAGTAAAAAGGATGGAGAAGGGCAATCAGATCAAATGGATGAAGCACCTTCCCTCAAAGGAAATGATATGAGCTTCCAAGTGTTTTGGAATGGATGGAAACATTTTCTTCCAACACTTACAAAGCAGTAACTGAAGGTCAGCCAATGAAATTGAGTGTCATTAGATTTAAAACATGCAAAAGAATATATTTACTCATTCATATGTAATTTGTGGCTACATAGCCATTGGTGTTACGGTAAGATGTCAGATAAACTCAAGTAGAGCCATTTTTACCAGTGGTATTTGTTGTTGCTGTTATGTACCATCAGATTGTCTCCAACTCATGGTGACCCTGTGAATAAGTGTCTTCCAAAACATCCTTCCAAACAGCCCTGCTTTTAGCTATGATAATTAAATGGAGCCTTCACAAACAGAACAGGAGTACTCCTAAATACCAGTTGCTGGGGAAGCACAGACAATGTGGCTGCAGCATCTTGCTAGCCACTGTGAGAAATTGAGACAAATCTGATGCACACTTGATTTGATACAATATGAATATTTTAAAGTTTTTCTTGCTCTGTTTCAAGACAGAGCCCTGGTTAAATGTCATATGTTTTACTCTGAAAGACACAAAGGCCAGCTCACTCTCTTTGGAAAACTTTCCCATTCATTTTCCCCATTCAAAAATCAATTTGACTAGCTATTGTGTAACTGTCTACTCTAAACAGTACCCAACACAATTCTACCAATTATCTTGTTTTTGTGCATGGACTAGGGTGGTGCTCAAAATCATTCGCCACTTCATATGCTGACCAGCTTGCTATTACACACCTTTCCCATTCTGTGCATATGCTTAGACACCTACCCATCATCATTTGCTTTCATTTTGTTCAGATCAACAATAATTGCTTGGAAATTGTTGCTAAATTTAGAGCACTTTTTGCGGTTGAGAATATACAAGACAGCTCTTGGAAATATACATCCCTGTTACCAAAACAATAATACGCAAACCACTTTCTAGCTTCAGATGGAGAGCAGCCTCGAATCCATAGGAGAATCTGCACAGTAATCATATTGTGTTTCATTTCCCCTCCGGAGATATTATGTGATAATCAACATATTTCCCAAATACCCCACATTTCTTGTAATGCTGATAAGCTCCAACCTTTTTATTAAACTAATAATGTGAGGTTTTTTAAGTAACAAAGGGGCTTATGGAATAAGTTGAATTAATAATTCCATTTTTTACAAAGGAAATCCAAGCTTACTCGTGTTTCATTTGAGATAGGAGAATGTAAAAAGGGAGTGTGTCATGGATTCGAGGGGATAACAGGAAAAGTTTAAGAAGCCTATTTAAGTAACTGGTGTTATGAACCCTGTTTATTACTTTGAAAGAAGAACACACCATGATATGGCTTTTGTATGACCCCTTGTCAGATATATCTGGAACTCTGCAAACTCATACCAGCTCACTCAGACTGGAATTACAAACCAGATGCCTACTAGGAGAAGAGAATATTGTCCTAAATTGTAAGCACAATATAGTCATTTTTACATATGCAATGCAGAAAATATAGTATTGTATAATCACAGTCCAAAACATGAACATGAAATTAGGTTTTTGAGGCTTGATATTGACTGTCATTTAAAGTAAATAGATTACTCACTAGAAAAAAAATCACTAAATTGATTCTTCCAAAAATGTTCTGTGAACTGTCAGTAAGTGATTTGCATTGCAGGCTCCAAGCAGAATGAATTATATTCTTTCCCCTGATAAAGAGTTTCTGCTGTTCATTATGCATTTCAAATAATTTTATCAAACTGAAAAATAAAGGTTAATTCAACGTGTGTGACTGTGCCACTTTGACCTCACTGTCTCCAGCAGCATGGAGAGACATTCCTGTGCCCACCCACCCACTCACCCACGCTGGTGCACCCTCTTACAAACCAAAGCTTGGCTTTCTTCTGACCCAGTCTCAGCACACATCACAAGCACCTTTAACATTCCCACTTCTGCCTCTGTTCTCTGCAGTCTATCATAAAAGCAGTGATCATTAACACATTACACAAACTCCCCTCATTGGTGACACCCATGGCTCAAACAGCAGCTTTTCATCCTCACTCTCTGCTCTCTGTGCCACTTGGCAATGAAACTGCCTTAACTCTTCCTTCTCTCCCTTGCCTTCACTCCCCTCTTGGCTGGGAGGCAGGTGAAAGCTACTGACACTTGTCCTACCCAGTGCAAGCCTGGCTCTGCTTAGCATTGCATTTCTTCTACTTTTTCCTCCCTCTGCCTGCACCTCCCCACACAACACAAAATCTGGAATCTCCAGCAGTTCTTCCAGCTATCCTTCCTGCCACCCATATTACAAGCCAGAAGTAGATCCACACCTTCCCTCCCCCAAATCTTTTCTCCTTCTGGCAGCCACACTTTAGTCTTAACTTCACTTTCCCAGCCTTCTGCTTGCTACTTAACCCACCCTTCTTCCCCTGACATACTTGTAAAGTTCTTGTAAAGTTGTAATATGCTTTTCTTCTGTTAAAAGCCTCTTTTATTTTGAAAGAAAAATATAGTTTTTGATATTCAGATTGAAGCAGTCAAATGCACCACACAGTTAAAAGCAAAGCAAGAAGCAATTTGTACATTACTAGGCAGGCCCTGGGAATAGAGACTGGATGACTGCAGCAGCTGCTTGTCTTGCGGCTCTTGCCACGCAACTCTGAGGATTCTTGAACCACCACTGATCAAGTAGCTCTGCCTGGTCTGGCATCATGATAAACAATGCTGGTAGGGACGGACCCCAGAAC